CATTTGATGAAAAGAAGAAAATTTATTATTTCTCAAATTGTCTGCGGTAAAGGAGTCATTATTTTTTGTATATAACTTAATAAAGATATAGTTTATTCAAATATTTACAAAGATATTTGTTTGAAAATCAAATAACTTTTTACAATATCTTAAATAAAACATGTGCAGCCCATAGAACTTCAATTAATGTAAAATTCAAGGTGCAATTAATTAATTGAATTGAATTGAAAAAATCAAAGTTTTGTACAATTCTCAGTGAAGCATTATTTGATACCATCTTCAAAATTCTATCAAGATTTAAACTATCAGACCATTCATTTATTAGGTACGTAAAATGGTCGCTACACATTATAACTTAAATGCTTCGGAATTCTCGCGGGGCTGCCCTTCAATACATGGTCATTAGATAAGAAGTGAAATCTAGTAATTTGGACTTTATAATTAGTTTTATTAATTTTTTTTTAATTTTTAAAACATATTTTACAACAAGTATTATACAAACATCACTGCCCTAAGTGAAGAAATATTAATAAAGTAAGCTTAATGTCATATGTTTGTACTTTGGATCACATGAAAAAAAAAATTCACTCGAATTACCTAGTGTGAAATACCAGGTATACCAGACCCAGAAAAGTAGTAACTGCCGAATAGCGAAAAATGTAGGTTTTGTAGACTTACGTATCCCTTGCTCTATTGCGTTAGGATATGCCTCGGGGAAAAAAAAACTTGAGTTTTGTGAGAAATTAAGTCTTATCTCTAACCTGGATATTCATGTGAAACAATACCAGATTTCTTACAAGTGGTTGTTGTATAGGTATAAGTTTCTAATTAAAATAAGAAAATAATTATTTCTATCTCACAACCTCAGTATAATAGTCATTCAATTACACTGGCGGATTAGTTTACAGGTAGTACACCCCCCCCTCCCCCACCCCGGCCCACTTTTCTGTCGAATATATACATATGATTTAATAATTCAATAATGTTTAATAAAATGTAATTTACCAATCGAATAAATATTATCAACAAATATTTATTATATTTCTGTATATTTTAACACTGATAAACTCTTAACTCTGGTAAACAACAGCACCCCCCCCCCCCCTCCCCCTTTTCCCTTTTCAAGATTCCTGGATTCGCCACTGAAATCTGCGTCGCCGTGTGAAATAGTAGTAAGAAAGTCTGCTTTAAAGTCGCGGATTAAGGAGATAATCCTTGTGTTGCAGGTTTGAATCCCTCTGAAGGACGTGGAGACCGGTCCTCCAATGAGACCGTATAAACCGAGGTCCCTTGTCGCAGTTGGTGCTGGCACGAAAAAGGTCCCTCACTGTGGAGGGGACCAGGGCCCCATTTTCTTTACAATATATGCATAAGATATAATAATTCAATAATTTTAGTGTGGTTGTTGGCTCCTTAACTCTGTCAAACAACCGCTCCACCCCTCCCTGTCGCTGTTGGTGCTGGCACGAAAAAGGTCCCTCACTGCTCAATGACCCAGGGTGTCGAGCAGCTTTCCAACGGCAATTGTTAGTGTTCCCATGAGTGAAAAATTGGAGCAAGGATCTTAAGGCAGCATTTAAACACCTTTGGTTTTCGTTTCTTACATGACCACATTTAACGATAGATGCCTGTCTCCAGTTGGTAATACCCCCCCCCCCCTCCCCCCTGTGCATTCTCCATTCGCAATACACATAACAACCAAACTGCATTAACCGAAATACAAATAAATATATAGAAAGAAAATATATCAAGTACTATACCTCAACTCCTTTTATTTTTCATTAAAATCAATCCACGATTATCTATAATTAATCCATGTTTGATGATTAATTTATATTGATAAATTGTTTATATATACTGACATTTCCAATTTTCGGCATAGGGATTTATATATAATAACCCCATTGTAAATTACATATGAAATAAATATAAACTACTAATCGAATAAATATGATTAAAGAATATTTATTTTATTTAACACTGTTTATGACGTATTAACACATGATATATGGAATATTCCATGTACGAGTGAATAGGTCTCTAGAGAGTGATGACATTGTAATTATTACATGTTAAAAGAAACAGTTTTCTTATGAACGATAACTTAAATTTTTTCGATATATGAACGATAACTCATGCCCATTTATATTTCGAAAAGGGTGACTTCTTTTACGCCATAGCATCTAGTCATTACTTTTAAGTCATGGTCTCCAGATGCATGAGCATTTGTATCCCCGTTTCAGATGCACACAATAGATTAGAAACTAGGGTTGTCAACGAGTACCCGGTTAACCGGGTACTCGATCGAACGTCCGAGTATCGAATACTAAAATCGGTACTCGGTTACTCGGATGTATATTTTTTAATATTTCTAAGCTTATTTATTAATGCATTAAAACATCGGTTTTAAAACGTAAAATTTTCAGTGCACTTGTACATACAGTAATTCGGGTTTCCTGCACCTCTAAATGACCGTTATCGCCTGTGGCAGTGTTTATGCAGTAATTACCGAGACCAAGCACCTGCTACCTACTTGGCTTTTCTCACCTTCGGCTGTCTTCTACCCTTATGTTTAGTTTGCTCTAATTATTTGTTTTCATTGAACATCGTTTAAGGTCTATTATGTTTAAATAAATTAGATAATTTTGTCCTCCAGAAGCCGTAAATTCTTGAAGAAAGAGAACAGACAATATTGCACGTGCGATTGTTGATATGAATGCGTTTGGTTACGTGCCAATTAATACAAATTGTTGCATGCAAATATTTTAAAAATCTTATGTCCACCGTTGCACCAAACTACAACATATATACCGTCTCGTAATTTTATGAAATCTACATGTAGGATCGAAAAGTGTACGAAGATCGTAAATCCGCTCTGTTACAGGAGAACTTGATAAAGTTGATACTGTACACGATTGTAGCTCTGACGACTTGTCACTTGGACGTTAAACGCACCAAAGAGTTACATTACAATTCGGTTTTTTTTAAAACAAAACCACTGGAACCATTTATGATTTTATTTCTCGTATTTATCTGATGAATAAATTGAACTTAAGGAAATTTTAGATTAAATTTCGTCGGGCACAAAGTGGTCATAATTGTTACAACACATTTACTGCCCATCAGAACATGTGATTTTATTTCTACAAGAATTTACAATGTTTTACAGTTATCAATTTACTTCATATTTAAAATTTAGACTTTACCGAGTACCCGGGTACTCGATCAGAAAAACGTCCGAGTAACCGAGTATTAAAAATTGACCGATTTGACATCCCTATTAGAAACCAATATAAAATCTTGTATTTTTGTTTCACAAAGGCCTAAATATTGAATTTCCTTATTTCATTCTCAATATATGGCACATACACCCTTTTTAAGAAAAAAAATGAACACATTAATACTGTTTACTTCAGTGGAATAAGTAACTCCGACTAAATGTGCATTTTTTAATTTCCATTTTTTAAATTAAAATGTTTACAATGCTTGATTTCATTACAGATATAATTGAAATTGTATAATAATAGGTGTAATGTAACTTTTAATTTACATCCAAGGACAGATCACTCCATTTGCAGACCCCCCCCCCCCCTCCCAACAGAATGCCAACTCTGAAGTATGCAGTGTAATAGATGATTCGATGATTCTTCTGTAAGATAAATAAAATCAAGGATTTCATTTACAGGGGGTTTTCAAAATATAAGTAAAGACATATTTTAAACCCACAAAAGTATTGCTCAAAAGGTTTATCACTCCTCATGCAGATATTGATTGATTTAGTCAGGCAAGCTTTTTAAAAAGCTGTTACTTGTACATTGTTCATTTACATTCACACAAACTTTTATACAATTAATGCATTAGTATATACATGTACATGTAGTGTTGTATTATTTTCTCACAGTAATTGCTGTTAATAGTCCCATTTTACTGTACATAAAACAATGAAATATTAAATGCTAAATAACTCTTTAATGAAGCATTTATTTGAAGTTTATTGGGATTGGATTTACATCCAGCAGTTAAATTACTGCATATGTACATAAATGGGCGTATTCAAAATTAAGCGCAATCACTGGGTATTGTGTTTTTGGTGGATTAATCAATTTGTGCTACACACTACAAACTTCCGCATTTTATATTGTATTTATATATGATTTCTTAGCGGTTTTCATGAATTAGCGCATCAATCTGTGCCAAAGCCGCTAAAATATGAAGCCTGTATTTTTATACACATATACAGTACATTTACCGTGTGGAAAATTGTTGTAGGTCTTACAATACATGTTAAAAGTTCTGCTGTCATTTTAGCCATCATGCAGAAATTTTGATGTAATTTGTTGTGACGTGAGAGAAAACTATTGATTTACTTGCTATCAAAGATTTTTGGATGGGGTTTTTGTATTTTTAAAGACACCTTTATAGTCGGTATAAAAAGTAAAATAGCATCCAATTTGCCCGATTTTCTTGATTTTGTTTCAAACATGAAACGTTTCCCAAGTTTTTCGATCGTTCTAATAAGCCTCGTTTGGATCACTGATGGAGGGGGGGGGGGGGTAACACTAATCAGAGACACCTTTATAGTCGGTATAAAAAGTGATTAGCATCCAGTTTGTCTCATTTTCTTAATTATTTTTCAAACATGAAGCGTTTGTCGTGTTTTTCGTTCGTTGTAATGAGTTGGTCCCACGCTTTCTCAATTCTAACAGACGGCAATATGAAGAACTCAACAGACTTAGACTTCGGTTCACTTGATACTAAACACGTCGACGTACTGTATACAGGGTTATTTTCGCCCATTAACACTTGCAAACAATTTTGCCCCGTTTTAAATTCGCCCAATCATAGTTTTGTTTAAGAAATTATATTGTATTTTTTTAATTCGCCCCGTTTTAAATTCGCCCAGATGAGAGGAGGGCGAAAGGGGCGAAAATAAAACGGTATCGAAAATTTCCCTGTATACAGTATTTCGAGAGCTATTAAATCAAGAGACCCTGATCCGAATGACATTGGTGAAAAATGTCCATGCACTGATGAAAGACATGGTGTCCCTTCAACAAAATCTTGCGTCTTCAGAAAGTGAGATTTCTTCGCTTAAAGACACAACCACCAGAGAAATCGCCGAGTTGAAGAAAGAGGTGCGATCACTAAAGCTGGAAAACAACCGATTAAGCAACAAAGTAGCCATATGTAATGAGAATATTGAGTCTTTAAAAGAAAATTTAACAGTAGTTGACGCCAGGCGCCGAGTGTTCGAAACACGGCTGTTACAGGAAAAACAAATGTTTGAACAGAACACATCCGGTTTCTTAGCAGACATTAAGACTGAAGTATTTGTCTATTGCGCTTCTGGACCTCCATAAACACAGTCTGGAAATCGACAAGAATATTCCGAAACTCATTGACAACAGATACGAGTTGATATCAGGGAGACTTAATGATTCTCTGGAGGCTTATAACACAGAACTGAGATCAGCCAACGATAAACTGAGTTTGGCTCTAACTGACCTACAGAAAAGTCAACAGACCATGACAGATTCCTTATCTGGTGAGTACAAAATAAAGAAATGTTAGATATCTAGTAAATGGAAAAAAAATTAGATTTATAACTTTTTCTATACTGTAAAATCACATATTTTCGATGGGTCAAATTTATGTGGTTTGAGGAAAAATTTTTGTTTGTTGGGATTTGATTTCGTGGTTAAAGAATTGTGCAGTAGTACTTTATATGTGAAAATATGCATTTCGAGGTGGACATAAATTCTTGGGTCTCTTCATATCATGAAAACCACGAGCGAAAATGAAACTTCTACAAAAATTAGTGATTTCACAGTATTTTAAATTACTAAAAATTCAATTTTATAGTACTTTATATCCTGGCTAGTTGAAACGTCTTCCCCTTTTTTAAATTTGTGGTTCGTAATCTTATTTCTTAACATCTTGGACAAATGCTTGATATTTTAGTGGAATTTGAAATGTTTGTTGAATGTTTATTTCGGAGATATTTTTTTCAAAAAATCAGTTACAGCGAACGTAAAAGAGACTTTTGTTTTTTTTCCCTGGGAATAAAACATCAACATGTAGTTAGTTTCACTATCATGAACAAAAGCATTCTGGGAGTGTACATTGTCCACCGCTTGAAAAGTGGGGGATATTAATTTGGATCTCTCCGTCCGTCCGTCTGTCTGTAATGATTTTGTTTCCACACGATATTTCAAGAACCCTTTGAGCTTTTGCAATGACATTTTGCATAGCAACTCCCTATAGCTTAAAGAAGAACCCTATAGATTTTGAGGTCAAAAGGTCAAAAGTCAAGGTCATAAATTCGCAAATTCTGTCTGTTATAATACTTTCATTTCTGCACGATATCCCGAGAACCCTTTGAGCTTTCGCAATGAAATTTTACAGAATAACTCCCTGTGGCCTTAGAAGACCTCTATTGATTTTGAGGTCAAAAGGTCAAAGTTCAAGGTCGTACATTTATACATTCTGTTTGTAACACTATTGTTTTCGGGCGATATTTCAAGAAGATCTTGAGCTTTTGCAATGAATTTTTGTACCAAAACTCCCTAGGGCCTCTCTCATCCCTCTCAAAGTGTTCTGCCCCGTTTATTTAATTAGTATTAAGTGTCACTTGGCACTATTTTAAGCACAGGGGCATGTGGAGAATTATTACATATCATACAAGTTGTCGGCGAACTTTTCAATCTTATTACATCTTTTAGTCTAGAACTGTTTAATAAAGGCTGATTTAGACATAATGCATTGTGTTAAATTTTGACAATATCGAACGTAAATACATACATGTATGTGACCTAATCTTTGCGTATAGTTTCCGACAGCATAAAGCGGCTCTGTGTTGTAGTGGTATGTCATTCGCTTGACATGCAAGAGGTCGAGGGTTCGAATCCCGGATGATCCATTTTCTTTCTTTTTAAAAAAAAATACTTTTTTCACTAAATGATAGTATTCAGTATCATGTGATATGAAAAAGATATGACATCTGGCTTGTACAGACTCATTAAATCATCATTACAGTGTCATAAATATTCTATATAAAAAGAACCATTTTTACACATAATAAAGAATAAGCAAATCATTCTTAATCATACATAAATCAAATCTTTATATCCATATTGGCATTTTAATTTGCATCAATATACATGTAAACATTTAATAATTCTACAAATTCAGTCAGGAGGGATCCGACCCCCCTCCTCTCCGACCTGCACATGCTGCACATGGTCTTCTTTTATTTCCCTTAGCGGGGGGCTCAAATTCTCCGAATTAGCTTGTTGCCTTAGCAATATTAGTACATGTACACTACCGGCAAGCGTAACCAGCTGGTTCCCTTTAAAAATTGAAAATGCATTGGTTCCTTTATGTATGCTGAAGCGGAACAAAATGCAGACTTGATCTTAAACTCATGAAGGTAAAGTCAATTACCAAAAATCAGCTCAATATAGGAAACCTTTAGAATAAAAAATGCGGATAACCCCATCTTTGCTAGCCATTAAAGGTTTCTAATACACTACTTTACTCATCAACCCTTGGCCCACGGTGTTAAAACAGATGTTTTTTTCCCTCAAATTGTGATTGAGGTGGATCACATCGTTCGTGTGACAGACAACCAACAGAGACAGACTGACTGACGGACGGACGGGCAAAGTGACGGACAGACAGATGCATAAGAAATATATAGTCCCCTCTGTTTTCACCGGTATGTAGGGGACTATTTAAACAACGATAACATTTTAATTAACTACATGACAGAAGATTTAAAATACGAAAACAGTGGCAAATAATTTTACCTTACTCATCTTTCGTTATTCTATCTTTACAGATCATATGAACAACACAATGGAGGACCTACAATCGGAACTCAAACAGACTCAGTTTGAACAATTAAAACTCTCGTCTTCTGTGTCATCTTTAGAGGTGTTCCGACTGAACGTTACCAACAGGGAGTGTGGTAATTATTTGAAAAAAGATAAAAATCATTTAATAGTTAAATAACTAAAAATCAAATTTTATTCCACCTTGGAGTTTACCATTTTTTT